GTTATTATTATTATTATTATTATTATTATTATTATTATTATTTTTATTTATATTTTATGGTTGAAATGAATAGCTAACGACAACTATAGAACTAGGACTACTAAACAAGTTGAATAATAAATTATTTTACATTTAATAAAATTTAAAATGTATTAAGTGAAAAAGGAAATTACTATATGCCTCATTTTATTTATTTATTTATATTGGTATATTTTACTTGGGGGAGATTACTAGGAATCCAACCCTTGGACCAGAGGAATATCTAGAAGGTTATAAGAGAAATATGCCAACCCTTCAATTTGATGTCTAATACAGGGAAAAGGAAGGGGGTGGTGGGTTGATATAAGTATCAATATTTATTTTATTATTATTATCATACATTAGAAGTGTAAAGTGTATTAAATTTAAAATTTAAACTAATTATAACAGATATTTAAAACAATTAAGATTGAGAAACATGACAGTTTTACATAGAATAATGTTAAATATATAAAATTCATGGGAAAACTTCTTTTGAATTGTATTTTTATATTAGTATAGATGTGGCATATTAAATGAATAATTGCAAACTAGAAGAATAAAATGGCAATGAAGTTGGCAGGGGAGTATGGATCATCGGCTGCTCTTTCCTGTGGCCTTCCCTGCCACACTCCCCAAAACAACGTCGTTTTGGGGAAAACGACGTCGTTTTATTTTGTTTTTTTTTTTTTTTGTTTTTTTGCTCCAAAATTTGAGTTTCCCGCTTGTACTCTTATTTGACTTTCATCTTCGACCCTCTCTCCTCTGTTTAGCCCTAACCACGTAGCTGGATAGAGAGAGAAAGAGAAGAGAGGCGCGACAGTTGGACAAAACGAGACGATTGACGAACGGAGAGACGATCGGCGCCATCTGCGAAGACGGAGAGAGATGGTGAAGGGAGGTGACGGTTATGGAAAGACGTTGGCGGAGGGACGCGAGTCCGGCTGTAATGCGAAGGCAGGAAAGCGACATTGCAGCCATGACGAGGTCTATTTCAGTCTCTGTGTCATTTCTCTATATTTACATTATTTATGGTTATAGTTGCTGATCAACAGCTATAGTTGCTGATATGGTTTAAATTGCTTTATAGCTTTGCTTAACACTGCTTAACATTGGTTTAAATTGCTTTAGAAAAAAATATTTGTAACAAGGCACATTGGTTAAATCTTCTACTTCCTAGCTGTAAATCTTATACTTCCTAGCCTAGCTATATAGGTAAATGTTGCCTATTTTTTATATATGTGAATGCTAATCATGTGTTATTAAGCATTATATAATTGGAAGCAAATCATGTGTTTTTTTTTTTTTTGGTATGCTTTTTGCTTGTTTAGAACTTTGTTACTCTGTTTCAATACAAAGCAACATCTAGTTCCCTCAACAAATACTGCTTATTGTGATCTAGATGAGTTTGTGTTATGTATATATATAATGCAATTACATATGTCAGTGCTATAATTAGTTTGTGATCTAGATGAGTTTGTGTTATGTATATATATAATGCAATTACAACAGTCTACACATACCCAAACTTATGCATAAGGTCACTTATATTAATTGGGAGATTCTATAAGAGGCCAATATTTTGCAATTATCCTCATTATGAAATTCAAAACATCTCTTTTAATCAACTGTCTTATAAAAATTATATAAATGAGAGAACTCATTAAAAGATCCAAGTAATAAATGAGAGAACACATTAAAAGATATTGGTAAATGTTGATAATTTAGATAACTGGATGCACAAAGGTACTTTATTAAATTACAAACTTAGAGATAGAAAATTAAACATTAGCATACCTGTCCAAAAAATCCAAGTCATAGATCCAAGTAATATAAATTGATTCATTGCACTTATAAATCGAATTGCAGGTAATCGAAGAAAATAATGTTTTTGATGAGTTGGCTAATTGTGGTTGGAAGCCGAAATTGGGTATGTCATTTGACTCTGAACAAGCTGCATATGATTTTTACAATACCTATGGCGGAAAGATGGGGATTAGTATTAGGAAGCTATATGCACACAAGAACAAACATGCTAAGGAAATAACTTCACGGACTTTTGTATGTTACAAAGAGGGAACTTGGGGTATTGACAAGCGAGATCCACTAGTAAAATTTCCGAGACAAGAGGTGAGGTGTGGTTGTGGTGCTCGATTTAGTATCAAGTTAGATAGAAATTAAGGAAAATATGTTGCCATTGATTTTGTTGAACATCATAATCATGATCTTGTGCCTCAAGAGTGCATTCATATGTTGTCATCCCAAAGAAAAATATCTACCACCCAAGCAATTGAAGTAGAATTGGCTTCAGAATCTGGAATTCCTCTTAGGTCTGCTTATGAGCTATTTGGTAGGGAATCTGGTAGAAGAGCATCACTTGGCTTCACCAAATGGGACCAAAAAAATTACTTGAGATCGAAGAGACAAAAAGATTTGGAATATGGAGAAGCGAGTAGTGCCTTGCAATACTTTCGTAAGAAAACTTTGGAAAATCCATCATTTTATTATGCAGTCCAATTAGATTGTGAAGAGTAAATAAGTAATATATTTTGGGCCGATGCACAAATGATAATGGACTATGCTCAATTTGGTGATGTAGTGACCTTTGACACTACTTACAAATTAAATAACGAACATACACCTTTTGGAACTTTTGTTGGATTTATTCATCATCGAGAAACTGTTATATTTGGTGCAGCGTTGATGTATGATGAGACTGCCGAATCATTCACATGGTTGTTTGAGATTTTTTTGGAGGCAATGTCAAACAAAGCTCCAAAAACAATTTTCACAGATCAAGATGCTACGATGGCTAAGGCCATTCCAATTGTCATGCCTAGTACAAACCACCGACTTTGTACATGGCATTTGATGCAAAATGATGTGAAGCATGTAAGTTCCCTCTTTGAAGATGTTGGGGTGAAGGGTGTGTTTTCAAAATTTATGCATCAAATTGATGATGAAGAAGAATTCAAAATACAATGGGACCAAATGCTTGGTAGGTATGATGCACGCAACAATCATTGGTTGGAGCAAATTTTTGGTGTGAAGGAGATATGGGGATGGCCATATATTATGAATTCTTGGGCAGCTGGAATGAGTACTACTCAACTAAGTAAATCATTCAATGCATTTTTAAAGGATTATCTCAATTGTGATCATAACTTGATGGAATTTTTCATGCATTTTGAGATGGTGCTCTATGACAAGAGGTATAAAGAATTGGAAGCCGAGTATAATCTGTCCCAAAAATTACCAAGGGTTTCCATTCCAACTGTGATGTTAAAGCAAATGGCAAATATTTACACCAAAATAATTTTTGAGGAATTCCAAAATGAGTACGTGCAGTCTATTGAAGCATCCATTGTAGGCACTATTCATGATGGTGAGAGTACCATATTCACAATTCAAACGGACGTAGATGGAAAAAAAGATAAGAATGTGACAATGGATAGAGATGGTTTTTTGAGTTATAGTTGCAAGAAGTTTGATGTGAAGGGCATAGTGTGTTGACATTGTTTAAAGGTGCTTAGAGAGACAGTCAATGCAAAGGACCTTCCTGCACAATACATACTCAAACGATGGACTAAAAAAGCAAGGGTTGAAAGTGTGAAATATAGGCGTGGGTATGACGTCAAGGCTGATGTGAAACTACATCAAAGCGACCGATATAGGTCATTGATGAATATGTTTAGAGCAATAGCAAGTAGAGCCGCCAAAAGTGAAGAAACTTATCATTTGTCACTTGTAAAAGGTGAAGAACTGAGTGTCATGGTTGAAGACAAATTAAGTGTGCACACTTGTGGTGAAGTGGAGATCACTGAATTAAGAAATTCCTCAGCTAACACATGCCCACAGAGTGAAGAAGTAGAATGTCCAATCCAAGCCAAGGGACTCAAGAAAAGACAAGCAACTAGTAAGGGAAGAAGGATGATCAAGGACGGGATGGAAAAAATCTATTGCAAAGAAGAAAAGAATGCAATCTAATCATGTAATTACACAAAATTGTTGCATATGATTAAATGATTTTTGGAGGCATGTGTGTTGGAAAACTAATGAATTAAAGAAATTGGCCATTTGTAAGGTGATACTTTTTGTACTCCCGAAAATCAATCTGAGCCTCGTACCACCATGGGTAATATTTGTATTCAGGTAATATTTACTTTTGTGTGCAACCTTGTATTAATCTTGTTGGATTGATTATTCTTGTAATCTAGTAAGGTGATATTTAGTATTTTGGTATTTTTTTATGCATGTAGGATGGTTCTTTTTGTGCTTCCCAAGGTCAATCTCAACCTTCTTCGGCCATTGGTAATCATTCAATACCGGTAAACATTTTTGTGCTTCCCATGGTTTGAGTTAGTTTCTTATCACATATTTTTTATTATGAGAATTGTGTAATTTGGAAGTGATTTTTAGATTTTTCTTATAATATGAAATCATGGTGTCTATAGTTCACGAATGTATTTTAATTTTTCAAGTTCCCTTTACAAACTTCAGTTCTTTAATGATGTATAGGGTGTTATTGTTTATACTCCCCAAGTTCAATCTCAATGTCCTTTGGCCATTGGTAATCAATCAATAGAGGTAAACTGAACCTTTGACATGCATAGACCTTAGGGAAATTGAACCTCATACGGAACCATTGTTTTATTTTATTAATGCTGTTTTACTTTCTTGCATTGGTTATATAAGGTGTTACTGTTTATACTCCCCAAGTTCAATCTTAACGTCCTTTGGCCATTGATAATCATTCAATACAGGTAAATTGAAGCTTTGCATGCATATACCTTAGGGAAATTGAACCTCATATGGAACCATTGTTTTACTTTATTAATGTTTTACTTTCCTGCATTGGTTGTATAGAGTGTTACTGTTTATACTCTCCAAGGTCAAACTCAACCTCCTTTCATCATGGGTAGTAATTATGTTGAGGTAATGATTCATATTGAGTTTTGTTTTTAAAATGAAAATGCATTAGTAATTTTTTTTTCTAGCACATATGCTTATTTGCTTTATGTTGGTTTACTTTGGGGTCATCGTCATGGTGTCTATAGTTCTCAATCTCAACCTGTATCTCAATCTCAACCTCCCATAGGTCGCACAAGTGTTCATCATGTCACGTATTCTACATATGATGTGAGTTATAATTGCTTACATACTTTACTTTGAAATGGTAGTATACATTGTATCAATATTTTAATAAATTTAGCACTATTGCAGGGAAGTAAAACACCTCAGTCAATACCTTTAGTCTATCTCAGTCAGATATCGTTTCAGGAGTTGCTTCGAGGCACTACAGTTCAACACTTTCCGGTCCAAATGTCACAAGCCTCACATAGTCCTGCTGACAGTCATGTACATGGACATCCTTGAATGAACGATGATGTTATTATATTTTCTAGATTTGGGTGTATTTTTTTATGTTGTTCAAATTTGGGTCATTATTGATGTTATTTTTTGCAATGGGAACAATGTTTGGAAATGATATGTTTGGGAACAATGGGAACAATGTTTGCAATGGAAACAATGTTTGATGCATGTTATTTTTTTATGATATTATTTTTTGATTCTTATGCTATGAATGAAAAGAATATTCAAAATTTATTATGTTGAGTGTTTGCTGTATGATTGAGTTAGGGATTCAGAGGTTTAAATATTAGGAGCAAAATGCATGCATATATATACTTGGTAATGGGCAGATTAATGTCACTTGTTTTGTGTTTTGATTTACAGGTTTAAATATTAGGAGCTATTTTGTGTTTTGATTACACAATGGACATATTAGGAGCAATTTTGTGTTTTGATTATACCCTGTAATGGACAGGTTACACCTAGTTTATATTTTATTACACCCTGTAATGAACAGATTATGCTTATTTTCTGTCTTGATTACAACCTATAATGGACAGATAACGCTCATTTCCTGTTTTGATTACACCCTATAATGGACAGATTACACAGCTCTGCTGGGAGAGGTTCAACATAACCATAACCATACAAAGCGAACAACTTAACCATACAAACTGATTACACAGATTACACAGCTCTGCTCGACAAAATGAACAACATAACCATACCAAGTGCCACCACATAACCATATAACCATACAAAGTTAACAAGTCCAGATAACTATACAAAAAAAAAAAAGTTTACAAACATAACCACATAACCATACAAACTTCCACCAGCAAGTCCAGATAACCATACAAAAATAAAGATTAGAAAACTATTACATTTTTATAACTAACACGATACCAATTGCAAGCAAGATGAACAACCCATAAATACGACACGAATTTTTATTTATGTCTGTTTCCAACTTAAGCATCTTCGCCGTCAGAAATTGAAGTTCTTTGCTTTGAAATCGAAGTTGTTCGTTCATAAGTCGAAGTTGTTGTTCAGTGGCAGTTGGCATATTTTCCATTTGCACTACTCTTTCACCTCTACCTTGTGAATTTGTAAGCAAGCACCATCCAATAAAGTCGCCGTAATTTTGACAACAATAAAATAATTTGTTTATGTTTCGCTCCGTCTCGGAAATTCGAATAGTTGCTTTCTTATGGCATTTAGGACAATTTTTGTTGCAATATGTCAACTGATCTGAGGTACCTCCGTTAACACTTGAACTTGACATCTGTAAAATTATATACACAATTCATAGGTAAATTGGTCTATGTTACACATGATAGATTGACAAGCCTTTCATCTACTCTTGTTTCGATTATATTTCCAACACAAAACAAATTGCTTTATAAACAAATTGGTTTCGTTACATTCACAACAGTTCATCTTCATGCATATGATTATAATGAATATCAAGCAAAACAAATTTGAAAATCACCATAACCATAAATGTTAACAATTCCTGAGCGACTTTGCAAGCAAAAAAAGGGCCGATCAAAATCACATTAAAACAAGAAAGTTTCAAGTGGCAGCTTATCTTTTCGATTGAATGAGTCTTCAATGGATTTGAAATCAACAACATCTGATAAATTTATTGCTCTAGGTTGTTTTTCCTAAATGTGAACACAACATCACATATACAGATTATTTTCTATGTATATATGTAGATTCATATATACATACTATTCTGAGAGAGAAAAAAGAGAGAGATTTGAGTTTGAAAAACAGGGGTCTAATTCTTGAATCATCTCTCCCTTCTTCAATCTCATCAAGCTTGAGACGACAATTTCAGTGACTGGGTGATGGTGGCTCATGCGCAAAGCGGTGGTTTTGGATCGGATTAGGAGACAACGGCGGCGGATCATAGTGGATTGCTTAGATATATAGAGAGAAAGTAGAAAGTAGAGAGATATGGATGTTGAACACAGGTTCTTCACTCAATTTTTGATATCTTCATTCAACACTCGGTGGCCTTCTCTTTGAAGCTTGCAGACAGCAAACTTGTTTTGGGCGGATGCAAGGAGTAGGGGAGTTTATAAAGCATTTGGGGATGTGGTTTCTTTTGACACAACCTATCTCACAAATAAATACGATATGCCATTTGCTCCTTTTGTAGGAGTTAATCACCATGGGCAGTCAATTTTGCTTGGTTGTGGGCTGTTATCTAATGAGAACACTGAAACATTTGTGTGGCTATTCAAAGAATGGTTAAGTTGCATGTCAGACGCTCCTCCAAAGGCTATAATAACGGACCAGTGCAAAGCTATGCAAAATGCCATTGATGTTGTCTTCCCACAAGCTCGACATCGTTGGTGCTTTTGGCATATAATGAAGAAAATTCCAAAGAAATTGAGAGGATATGCCCAATATGAATCGATAAAGTTTGCTTTGCAAAATACAGTTTATGATTGTTTTACAAAAGATGAATTTGATGAAGAATGGCAAGCGATGATTGCAAAGTTCAATTTGCATGATAATGACTGGTTGGGGGTATTATACAGTGAGCGACATAGGTGGATTCCTGCCTATGTGAATGACGTTTTTTGGGCTGGCATGTCAACTACACAACGAAGTGAGAGTATGAATGCATTTTTTGATGGCTATGTGAACTCAAAGACAACTTTAAAGCAATTTGTTGAACAATATGATAATGCCTTGAGAAGTAAGGTTGAGAAAGAGATGAAAGCAGACTTTAAATCTCGAAACAAATTGTATGATTGCCTAACGATGTATGAGTTTGAGAAGCAATTTCGTGCAGTCTACACGAATGCAAAATTTAAAGAAGTGCAAGTGGAATTGAAGCGATTATTGTATTGTCGTGCTAATCTTGTGAAAGAAGAGGGAGCAATTTGTACTTATCATGTCAAGGAGGCTATTTTAGTCGGTGAGAAAATGAAGACAGTGGAATGTGTTGTATACTTTAATGCAAGTGAATGTGAAATGCAATGTATGTGTTGGTGGTTTGAGTTTAAGGGCATTATGTGTGCCCATGCAATTACTGTGCTACTTGAGCGGTGCATATATCATGTTCCAGATAAATACATTGTATCAAGATGGAGAAAAGATATCGAAAGAGGCTACACATGCATTCTAACCACATACACTAAAGCCGGGGCTGTTGTTAATGCAAAGTTGCATGATAAATACCACAAGATGTTAGATGAAATCCTAGAAATTGCTGCCAATGATAATGGTAAACACCAAGTGCTTGATCTTGGGTTGATAGAAATAAAGGATAGAGTGAGAAAAGATCAATCGAGTAGTGTGAGTCATGTGCCACCTTCTACTAGTAATGCACCACCTTCTCATAGTTCGCCGAAAAGTCCGTCTGCTCGTAGTACTACAAAAGCAAGCATGTCTCGCAAGATGCTTAGTCCAATGGTTGCTCGCCGAAGAGGCCGCCCGTGTACGAAACGGAAGGTTAGCAAAGTGGATGAAATAGTGAATCGGTTGAAGGAAAAGAGTAAAAGGCCTTCGAAAGCACAAGTAAGTCCTGTTCTTCTGTGTCATATGGAATTTGCTAAATGTTTTGAAGATAATTTATTCACCAATGTGTCTGTGTCTTACTATAGGGACGTACGGTTCCTCAATGTCAGCCTCGGAAGTTAAATTTTCCTTCTACAGATGATGTGCAACACAATACTTATCATGACCCGGTATGTATTTGAATTTTTATGTTGTTGGTTGTTTGCTATTTTAATGTCTGAAATGTATAATGACATTGTGTTACTATGATCATAAGGCGACGCAAACTGCACCTTACTATTTTCCTTACATGGATGGCACGCAACAGAGTATGTATGTACCGGTATGTCTTCAATGTCTGAAGTAAAATATTTGTTATTGTTTTAATTAAAATATATGTTGAATGGACAATATTAATTAAAGTGTACTTGTTTATTAAATAGGCACGGTTTAGTCCAATGCAAACGGTAGACAATATTGGAGGCACATCTCATGCTCAATCAGAAATGGTGAACAACATCTACAGTCAAAGTTCGACAATCGCTGAAAATTTTGTTGACTTGAATGTCGATACGGATCCAAATGTCCCATTTTTTTTTTAGACTCGTATTAGTACGTTGTACTTTTTTTTTTTGTGTGGAATACTATGAATGATGTTGAACAAACTGTGTGGACAATGACAATACTAATTTTGTGGAATGCTCCTAAGATGAGTATGTTTGTAGAATACTATGATTGATGTTGAACAATGTTGTGATTAAATGTGATTAAATGGGGCAGATTGATGCTTATATTGTGACATAGAATGGTTTATGTTGATGATTAAATGAGGCAGATTGATGTTGATGATTAAATGGGGTAGATTGATGGTTGATGATTAAATGGGCCAGATTGATGTTCAATGGGACAGATTGCTGAATTTGTTTTGCTGGTCTGGTTTATGTTGTCATATAGAATGGTTCATGCATGCCTGGTATCTTAGTTGTGGCTGTGATATAAAATGTCTCATTCTGTTGTTGCTATAGTTGAAGGAAATGCTTAAAAATATTGCAGCCAAACTTTTGAATGTGAGTCTGTGTAGAAAACTTTGTGAATAATTGGACCATTGAGGATAAAATAAATTAGCCTCCCTCTTCTGGTGAGTTCATGGCCAATAATTCAACATGGTTTCAGAGTTTATATTGCAATCTTCTGGTGAGACAATAGCAAGAATCATATAAACTTGTCTATTCAAGCATATAAAGACAACATGCACAAATTTTTATTTTATATCCATGCAGTAGTGGTACCTGTTTTAGTAATTCAACATTTCTCCAACTTTTGAACAAAATATATCCATAAATGAGTTAATTCAAACATTACATTACATCCATAATAAAATTACAGCATCACATTCAATTAAACTCTTAACATTCAAGCAGTACATTACATCCATAATAAAATTAAAACATGTCCACCAGTACATCCATAATTAAATTACAACATCACATTCAATTAAACTCCTAATATTCAACATGTCCATTACATCCATAATTACATTCATCAAATATCCCAAAAACTAACAGTCAAGCATTTAAATTATTACATAATAAAGTACAAAACGATATAGAGTAGAATCACATAAATCATAGCCTTGAAATTGTTGTCCATCCTTTGAAGCCTTCTACTATGCTCATGTATTTCATTTTCCATCTCAGAAAGCCTTGCCCTGATTGAATTCTTCTGTTTCAATAGCTTTACGAGGTCCACTATTGGAATGGATTGTCGAGGTAACGTCCCCATCATCATCTCAGAAAGCCTTGCCCTGACATCATTTTGTTCGATTTGGTTTATGCCTGAATTTTTTTTTCACCTTGTGCTCTAGTTTGATGCTGTGAAATCAATTTTTCATCTCCAAAAATGTTCTGTTCTACAAGTTAGAAGCCAAAATGAGGCAATGCTATACAAGTTAGATAATAAACACTGGAACAAAGCTAAAGTGGCACTATAATAAAATAAAAAAAAATATTTTCCAAATGTTTTGTTCTATATCCAATGTGGTGGTTACTGTTATGGAGGGACATTGTCAAAAATTCAAACTTCCAACAAAATATCCCAAGTCAATGCAAGGGCATACACAACACTGATTATAAAAAAATAAAAAATAAAACATAATTCCACTATGTACAATATAATAGTTGAGAAACAAAATCAGAATGATGACACAAGATCACAAGGCAAAACAAATTCTTGAATATTAAAACAAACTTCAATGAACAAAAAACGCTCTATACCAACGAGGAATTCTGATTCCAGTATAACACAAAGACTCTGATTCCAGTATAACAAAAAATAAATAAACAAATAAATTCACAGAGCAGATCATGCAATTCGGCAGTTGCAACAAATTGGGGAAAAATTAACTGAAATTGTGATCACACCTAGTTTTCTGGTACACAGATTAACTGAAATTATTGGGGCAAAATACAAAACCCTAACCCTAGTTTTGTTATCCACAGTTTACCTGCGATTCGGGTGTGAGGATGAACTTTTCGGCATCGTCTGGGAGAAGAGAGGAGGTGATACGCTCGAATGATTCCGAAATGAACCGGAAGAGCAGATGAATCGGAAGTTGAATGAAGAACAGAGCAAGATGAGGAAGAGAGTTGGGTATAACACTAAAAAAGGAGAGAGAGCAAGGTAAAACACTGAAAAAGAATAGAGAGCGAGATTGGGGCGTTATGCCGCGTGAGCCCACGCTTTCGGGGCATTCGAGCCAACACATTCGGGCCCTGAAGCATTTCTCTTAAAAAAATTATTTTAATAGGATGGAGAAAAAGTAAAGAGTTTGATGTAGAAATCGTAAGATAACTGCTGGGCTGTTCTAATAAGCTTAAACTCTAAGCTACAAAAATCGAGGAACAGAACAGAGAGCTCTTGCTTGATCTGGAATTGTAAAAGTCCCCTTTTCCATCATCCATCCATATATAGAGAGAGAGATGGCTGAAATTGCAGTCAATTTACTAGCGAAGAAGTTGAAGGAGTTACTGAGCTCCAAGATCGATTTGAGTTTGGAAGAGAAGGATCAAATTCAAACCCTTTATGAGGATCTACAATTGCTGAGAACTGTAAGATAAATTGATAGAGAGAGAATAAATTGTATGTATATATTGATATATGTTGTTTTTGTGTATTATGTATATTACAAGGATTCCTATTATATAGGAGAGGATTTGGGAGTAGGTGAGGAGTAGGTGTAGGTGGTAGTGGAGGTGGTAGGTGGAGTGGGTGGTAGTGGAGGTGGTAGGTGGAGTGAGTGGTAGTGGTAATTTACATTTACACAATTTACATTAACAGCCCCCCTCAAACTCAAGGAGGATAGGTACTAGCCAACTTGAGTTTGGAGAGAGTAACAAAACAGAAAAATAAACTGATAAATAAAACAGGATAGGAGACACGGTATGGTCGTGTCAGACCGATGTAGCAGACAGTTTATGGGGTCATGTCGGACCGTTGTAGCAGACAGTGGTGGTTCCCATGATGTGTAACCATGCTCACCATGATACATGATATATGTAGGATATATGTATAACCCCCCCTCAAACTCAAATAGGTGTGAAGATAGAAACCTATTGGAGGTTGAAAAGGGATTTATAATGCTGACCGGTGGAGAAGACACTGTATGAGTGTGTATATAGGCTGCCCAAAAAATATACATGGATGTAGATATCGAGCCCTCAAAAGTCGTGCCCTCAAAAGGTGTGCCCAATCTGTCAAAAGGCGTGCCATCAAAAGGCGTGCCCGAATGCATCAAAAGGCGTGCCATGAAAAGGCGTGCCAGTTTAAATTAAAAAAAAAAATGGCCACATTGTGAGAGTATCTTTCACAAGCATCCAAAGATGCTCTGCTTTGGCCTAGAAAATAACATATGACTAAGAAATTCAACTCAATCGTTTCATCAAACATATACACTACTTTTGGTAACTTAGGAGAGAAAAAAAATAAAAATAAAAAAATTGGTAAGATATAAGAGAAAAAGAAAATATTGTGAATTCTTTCCATTTTATTTGGATAGATAAGACAGAATGAAAAAAAAATGATATTGATTTCTCTCTTATCTTTTTTGGTCAAACTACATAAAAGAAAAGAATAGAAATGGTATGATATTTTATTACCAAATTAACCTTTTTATAGGTGTTAATCTTTTTGTTTGTTCTATATCTAAAAGTCGGAGTTTTGGTGTTATAACAAAATAATATTTAGTTGGTTTCATTTCTCTCCAATTCTCTCCACTTTTGGAGAGATTAAAAATAGGGATTATGAGATAAATGTGTTTCTCTCAATTTCTCTCATATTTGGTAATCCAAACAAGGGATTGAAATCAATTTTTCTCCATTTTTTTTCTTTTCTCTCCAACTCACTCAAACCAAACAAAGTGTAGCCATATATCTGTACTTTGGTCCATTATAATTTTAATTGACTCGATTTTAAACTAAATTTATGACCTTAACCCAAATTTACCCAATTAAATACAACTCGCATTTTTTTAAATGAAAAATACGTAATTAAGTGCCATGTTTAGTGTACAAAATTTGAAATTAAGGGTTGATTTGGGATTCTTCTTTTTTTTTTTTTTTTTTTTAGCCTGGCTAAAAAGTTTAGTTTGGGAAGGATTTTTGACTTTTTAATTTTTTTGACTTTTTTTTATGAGAGAATAGTGCAATGATTATGAATTGAATATGATGTTTTATTTGTTGTGGCTAAAATAATATATTTTGTCTTTGTGGCTAAAATAGCCGCAAACCATCTTCCCAAACGGATCATAAGGATCAAAATTAGGCTAAAATCATGACTACTGTGATCGATGATTACCGTTGAGTAGTCCAAGATCAAGAGAATCGGCATCGAAGCCGGCATCGAAGTAACGATCGGAAACGTGACCAGGCGCATCGACGTGCGTGCCGGTGTGAATCGGGAGCTTCATTTCAGAGTTATTAGTGTACGAGCCGTTCTTCATGCTCTCCGAAAGCCATAGAAACTGGCCGAGACCATCTTTGGAGCCCCAAGCTGGCATGTCGGGTCTCAACCTGTGGCTGATATCGAAGATTCTTCCGCCATCGTACACTTCTCTTCTCTGAGGTTTCAGGTCCTCGCCGCCGTTGGCGGAGGGGCAAGCGGCGTCAGATGAGGCGAGGAGTGATGATGGTTTTTTTTTTTTTTTAAAAAAAAAATAAGAATAATAATAATAAATAAAATGAAGTGTGGGATAAAGGTGAAGAAAAATTTCGGAAGGTTAAAGTAATAAAAAATAAAAAAAAGAAAAGGGGAGATTCAAAGGTGTTGGCGGGTCCTACCACTAAGGGAAAAAAAAGATGATGGGTGTGCAAAACAGTGTGTGGTTCGTGTCCTTGTCTTAAGGAGGAGTAAAAGAAATAAAAAAAAAATTAAAAATATACATATATATATATATATGAGTGGGGAACAAGAGTGCGTGTAGACAATGGGGGAATAAAAAAATAAGAAGAATAAAAAAAATGTATGAATGAAGGAAGAAAGGAAGGCAAAAGAGGGAGATGATTAAAGTGGTTCTGGGGAGAGAAAAAGAAACCAGAGAGAGAGGGAGTGGGGTGAGTAAAAAAAATAAAAAAAAAGTTGCATCAGAAAGTGGCAAACCCGTGGGTGTGTGTGGGAGTGTGGGTTGTGAGTGCCGTGGGTGAGAGAGAGGGAGCGTCTGAGCTCGCGACCACGGAGGAGACGAAGAACAAAGCTAGCAGCACAGAGAGCAGACATTGCGCGATCTGAATCGTCATCGTTGAATGCTTCTCAGGTCCAGATTTTATTGGATCCACAGGACAGGAGGAGGAGGAGAGACTCAAGCAAAGAGTGAGAGCAGCGCGTGAGAGCTACAGATCATGGTCGGCGGTGGTGGTGGATTTGCATCAGCCGCAGTTATGGGCGATGTCGCCGTTGGTGACGCTGGTGTTGGAAGGGTCAGCGAGGTCGATCTCGTCGTTTGTGTCGGCGCCGCAGCCGGTGGGTGGTGGGGTGGAAATTAGGGCCCTGTCGCCGGCGGTGTCGGGAGCGACGTTTGGGACGAAGAAGTCGAGTATGGAGGGACGTGATTGGAGTTACCAATGAGGACTCGCACGTGTCTGGGAAGCGTGTGGCCTTGCACGCTTGGTTGGAAGGGCCTCGGCCGTAGATTGGATGCGGTACTGGGAATAATGAAGAACCTCCAAACAGTTCTTGGTTGTGGTGGTGCAGTCGGTGGCCGGTGGTAGGAGGGCTGGTCCGGTTCTTGGGAGGACCGGTGGTGATGCTGAGGGAGGAGTATCCGAAGCAGGGGAGTGTGTTCACCTTGAAGTTGTTGAACAAGAACGTCACTTTCTTCATAGGACTTGCATGTTACAGCGATTAGGCCCTTCCGTAGACGATCGACGCCAGGGAGGGTAACAGTGAGAGGAAGGGCAGTGGTGGTGGACTCGAAAAAATTTCAAGGTATGTGTAGAAAATTCTAGCGGATTAGGTTGAGGTCCGGCGGGCGGTCAAGGGAATGTTGCCGCCCGCCGGAAGGCGAAGAACACCAAGATCTTTAACCTATAGCTCTGATACCATGTAAGATAAATTGATAGAGAGAGAATAAATTGTATGTATATATTGATCTATGTTGTTTTTGTGTATTATGTATATTACAAGGATTCCTATTATATAGGAGAGGATTTGGGAGTAGGTGAGGAGTAGGTGTAGGTGGTAGTGGAGGTGGTAGGTGGAGTGGGTGGTAGTGGAGGTGGTAGGTGGAGTGAGTGGTAGTGGTAATTTACATTTACACAATTTACATTAACAAGAACAAATCTGAATGATTTGCAGGTGAAGTTTTTTGAGCACGAGCAAGTGAAAAATCTGGAGGCACGAATTAGAGATTTGGCGTACGAGGCAGAAAATACGATCGACTCGTTCCTAGTTAACATTTTCTCGACAAAGAATATTAAGATGAAGGAGAGAGAGATGGCTGAAATTGATTTGGCGTACGAGGCAGAAAATACGATCGACTCGTTCCTAGAGATGGAGAACACTGCTGATCAAAAAAAAAAAAAGAGATGGAGAACACTGCCTTGATTATTAAGCTTATGGAGCTTATGGATGCGAAGAGGATAAAGACGATAAAGAAGGATCGCTCATTAAAAGATGAAATAAAGGAGGATGGTTCGTTAAAACCAGAAATACAGCATGGTCACTCATTAAATCTTGAGCATGTCAAAGAAGAGATTGAGGCCATCAAAACTGAGATGATGGAAATTTATGACACGGGTTTGGAAGGCATACTACAAGTTGGAAGTTGTTCCAGCAGTGGAGACTCAGACTCATCAAACACAAAGACTTGGGGTGTAGGGGAGGAAGAAATAATGGTGGGATTTGAGGATGAGGCAATGAGCTTAAAGGAGCAACTTACTGGAGGCCCAAAGCAGCTACAGGTTATTTCCATTGTTGGGATGGCTGGACAAGGTAAGACTACTTTGGCTACAAAACTCTATAATGATCCTCTTGTCGTGTACCACTTCTATATTCGTGCTTGGACATCTGTCTCCCAAGAGTATCGAAAGAGGGATTTGTTAATTCGCCTTTTAAGTTGCGTTATGAAGCATACGAATGGAATTGATCAAATGGGCGATGAGAAATTATGTGAAAAGTTGTACAAAAGCTTAAAGGGTCAGACATATTTCATTGTGATGGATGATATGTGGGATACTAAGGCCTGGGTTGATTTGAAAATTTGTTTTCCAAATGACAACAACGGAAGTAGAATTATGTTCACTAGTCGACATGAAGACGTGGCTTTGCAGGCCAAAACCAATAACCCACCTCTTTCGCTTCGATTTTTAACTCATAACGAAAGTTGGGATCTGTTTCAACACAAGGTGTTTGGGAAAAGAGAAAATTGCCCTCCAGTGCTTGTGGAGATCGGAAAGCAAATAACCAACAAGTGTCAGGGACTACCTTTGTCGATTGTTGTGGTAGCTGGAATTTTTATTAATGAAGAGAAGAGCCAAGACCGATGGAAGCAAGTAGGAGAAACCTTAAAATCAAGTTTGGCTGCCAATCCACAAGCATGTATGAAAACACTAGCGTTGAGTTACATTCACTTACCTGGGCACTTGAAACCGTGCTTTCTCTATTTTGGTGCATTTCCAGAGGACTTCCAAATCCCTGTGTGGAAGTTGATTTGGTTATGGATTCTTCTCTATTTTGGAGCATTTCCAGAGGACTACCAAATTCGAGTGGAGAAATTGATTTGGTTATGGGTTGCTGAGGGATTTATAACAAAGACAGGTGAAAAAAGATTGAAGGATGTGGCAAAAGAATACTTGATGGATTTAATTGGTAGAAGTCTCTTATTAGTATCCAAAAGAGGGTACGATGGTGAAATCAAAGCATGTGGAATCCATGATTTGTTACGTGAATTTTGCATCAAGCAAGGTGAGGACGACTTTTTTCTCCAACGTTTTTGGGTTATCAGCGGATTTCGGTTTCAACCACTTCTGGCCAAAACATCCGCTCTTTATTGTTCTTGAACTCTGGATGTGCTGGATCATGGTATCCTCGTTTCCTTTCTCCAAGCTTCAAGCTACTTAAGGTGTTAGATACAAGTTTCATCCAGATTTTCAAATACCCAATTGAGGTAGAACAGTTAGTTCTCTTGAGGTACTTAACACTTGACATCGTTGAAGAATGAGAAATACAAGATAGGAATTGGGATGAGGAAGACCTTATGACATTCATCCTCCCACCTTCCATATCCAATCTCTGTTGTTTAGAAACCCTTATTCTTTGTACATCACATTCTTCTGTTTATTTACCACATGATATTTGGAAACCTGAGGCACCTTTGTGTTAGTGGTAATGGGAAATACATCATTAATAATCTTTCAGATGACCTTCCCTTGTCGGATAATCTACAAACTCTCTCATGGGTGTTTTGTCAACAAGAATTCTCAGTCAGGATTTCTAATCTGAAAAAGCTGGGACTTTGTGGACGTATGGTACATGAAAAATCCTTGATGTTTCCTGATCTATACTTCCTAGACCACCTCCAAGCGTTGAAGTTGTGGAATGAAGGCATATTTAATCAGAACACACATGTTCTGGGAAGAATTAAACTACCCCTTAATCTAACAAAGCTAACTTTGAAGAATACCCATCTAAAGTGGGATGAGATGTCCACACTTGGCAAGTCACTACCCAACCTTGAGGGTCTCAAATTATTATATAAAGCTTGTATTGTTAAACGTTGGGAAACAAGTGATGGGGAGTTCCCTCGATCCAAATTCTTAAAATTAAAGCATGTACAAGTTGATCAGTTGGAAGTTTCCAGTAATCAATTTCCCGTGCTTCAGCGGTTAGTGTTAATTCAATGTAATGGGCTCGAGAAGATCCCATCTGAAATGGGGGATTTACCCACACTTCAAATGATTGAGGTGCATTGGTGCCACCCTTCTCTTGCCAATTCTGCCAAGGAAATTAAGGAAGAACAAGAAAGTATTGGAAATAATTGGCTGCAGATGATTGAGTCCAACAATAATGTGCTTTAGTTGAAGTACGTGCATTAACTTGATCAAATCATGATTTTTATTTACATAAATTAATTTTCTGTTTGTTGATATCTTTTTTTTTCCTCCTTTTTTTTCCTATGTTATTATTAATCTTTTTTTTTTTTTTTCCTTTCTTTATAAGTACCTAATCTAGAAGAATGATCATTAAGTAGGTAATAGGACTGAAAAACCCTAAGTTATGTGATTTGTGATTTATTAGCTAATAAACATCAATCAAAACCAATCCCTAAATTAGACAATAATCTAAATCATCTAGCTTATACGACAGTGATTTAGATTATCTCGAAGCAATCAACAAATAGGACACAAAGGATTTTAACGTGGAAAAGCCACAATTGGAGCACCTCCAATTGTAATAAAAAAAATCACGGCTTGAAGTCACAAAATAATCCACTCTTTTTTTTTTCCTCCTTTTTCTTCTTGTGTTATTATTAATCTTTTTTTTATTTTATTTTTTATTTTTTATAAGTACCTAATCTAGAAGAATGATCATTAAGTAGGTAATAGGACTGAAAAACCCAAAGTTATGTGATTTGTGATTTGTGATTTATGAGCTAATAAACATCAATCAAAACCAATCCCCAATTAGACAATAATTTAAATCATCTAGCCTATACGACAGTGATTTAGATTATCTCTAAGCAATCAACAAATAGGACACAAAGGATTTTAACGTGGAAAAGTCACAATTGGAGCACCTCCAATTGTAATAAAAAAAAATCACGGCTTAAAGCCACAAAATAATCCACTATGAAGATAATGAAATTACACAAGAGTACAAGTAATTACCCAACACTCACTCAAGAATTGACTTCCACTCATTGTGTGCTCCTTTCATCAATATCTTCGTCCTGGGATTGATTAGTCCGGTGTTGAATCCACAGCACCCATGTCGAGTCCACGGCAATGAGATGCTTCAAACACCTTCAAAGCCTTTGAATCCACCGATGAATGCTCTATGAAGGTAAATTCATAACAAGCCCCTTGACATATGCTATTCAATCCATGCAAGGCAACTAGCTCACAAAATCATCAGGGAAAAGATCACAAAAGCTCTTCAAATGAAAACCCAATAGTTCTTAGGCCTCCAGTCGTTGATATTGAAGAGATGAACCCTAAATTATGCGCCGAGGTAGCTTAAAACAAATAGAGTCATGAAGCACAGGAAATATCACTCGAGCGGTGTGCCTAAGAGGTGGTTGTAACTATAGACAACCCATTTTTGACCGTCCTCAAGACCTGGACGTCACCGTTTGAACACTCGGTGATCATCCATGTTCGTGTTCGTTTTGAGTTCCCAGAGGCCTCGGCCACGCGCCGTGTCTCAGGATCTCTTAACTTGCCTGTTTTGTGCTTGGTTTTGCACCAAGGGCTTGTGTTTTGTGCTTCCGAGGGTGGGAAGAGGCTTGTTAGCCATCCCTGAAACCCACCGGCCGTGGTATACTGCCACCGGCCTTATTTTTCTTCTATCGACCAAATGTTTGGTCGGTCGGCATTCTCTTAGGTGTATCGGCCTTTTCTTGTGGTCGGCCGACCATTTATTTGGCCGATTGACTCCTGTTCTGGCCGATACCTCCTTTTCGCCTTTTTCAGGCATGGTGCATGCCAACTGTGCCAACTGGAGTGCACGGACTTGTCCTCCATACACGTGTATGGACGATTTGCCCCTTTTGCACCCTTTTGTTCTAAGCTTCTTGGAGAAGCTTGCACCCTTTGCTCAAGCTTCTTGAGGAAGCTTGGACCTTTGTCTTAGCTTCCTCAAGAAGCTTGGACCTTTGAGTTAGCTTCTCTTAGAAGCTTGACCTCCTTGACCCTTTTGCCTTAGCTTCTTTAAGAAGCTTAGGCCTTTGTCTTTCTCTATAAAAGGAAGCCTCCCTCCTCCTTTGAGGAGTTTGAGAAAAATCAGAGTTATATAGCATATATACATTACTCTCTCTCTATATCTCCCTCTCTCTCTCTTCATTTGCGTGTGTCAGAGGGCTTAAAAGGTTGTTTTGTTCTTAGTTTTGCACTAAGGCACCTAGTATTACACCATACTTGGGTTATTGAGGTCTTGAGAGTTTGTTCTTGGAGTTTTGAGATGATTTTGATCAGAAGAAGGGGGCTGGACTTGCTGTTCTTGAAGTGTTCTCCAAGGGTAACACTATTGCTTTATATTCCCCATTCTTGCACTGGATTTTAACCCCCTTTGCATGCTGTTTTGAGCTTTTTGTATAACATATAAAAGTTCTGTTTTTTTGTGTTTAAAATACTTCATTAAGGTCATTTTGGTGGTGAGGGTCGACCTCCCCCTCTTAGGCCTTGTTTGGCCCTTTTTGTGCTTTCTTTGTTGAGCTTTGGGAACCTTTGTGCATTGGTGGTGGGGGTGGGGGTCGACCTCCCCCTCTTAGGCCTTGTTTGGATTTCAGTGGTGAAGAAGAGGTTTTGAGGTCTTGCATAGGGGAGGGACACCCCTCTCCCTTTGTGTCTCATTTGTTCATGTTTTTGGCTCATGAGGGTAGCATGCATGCTTAGTTGTTTTTGGCTCCATTTCAGAGGTTTTTGGGTGATATTTGGTCATAATATTCCTCTGTTTTTGGTCGGATTAATGCCCCCTTGCATGCATAATATACTTGCCTTCTATTCCTCTATTTTGCCTAGAAATGCATCTTGCCATTAGACCATCATGCTTGCATGTTTTTGCCTAGCTTTGTGAAGCTTTTGGTCATATTTCATCATGCTTGAGGTCTGTTGAGTATTGATTTGATCATGTTTTCCATGTTTGGTATAGCCCCTTTGTATTTTGGTTTGTGAGCCTTGAGTGTGTGGGTCATTAGCATGCTTTACTTAGCTTATTCTCATGATTTGGCATCATTGGAGACCATATTTCAGTCCATAATCCATGCTTGTGCACTTGCATTTGGCTCTCTTTCAATGCTTGAAAGTGTTGTAGTTTTGTGGCTCAAAAGTTGGTCATTGTGTATGATACCATGTTTAGTCTGTGGGCTGCCATATCAGTGGGTTTTGGGGGCTTATTTTGCATGTTAAAACTCTAATTTTGCATTGGTTAGTCCATGCCACGTGTGGTTGGGGTGGTTGTAATAGAGTGCCCTCTTTGTGGCCCTAAATCCCCCTTTGTTTTGCATCCATTTCTTAGCATGTCTTGACCATGATCTATGCATGCTTTAGTCTTGTTTTGGAGTTCCTTAGGACTGCTTTAAGTCATTTTGGTCCTTTGGGGTTTGGTTGACATAGCTATGGTTTGGACCTCTTTGTTGGCTTCAAGTTTTGGTCATGGTTGCATGCCTTACTTGCATGACATGGTTGATTTGGCATCATCCTCTATACATTTTCAGAGCTTAATATGTTAGTCAAGCATCCATGTTTGTCATCATGTGAGTGCTCTTGAAACTTGCCTTTCATACCTTAGCCTTAGGCTCATTGGTTTGCATGTTTATTTTGCATGATTGGCATCATTATTTTAGTACTTTTGGCCACTGTTTTGGGGTGTGGCTGGGGTTCCTCCATCTTAGTGTAGATCCATGGATCATGCATTTGCATCTTGTAGCATGCTCATTACATTGTATGATTGTTGCATCCTTGTAGTTAGTGCATTGTTACATGCTTATCACTTTGCCTAGTTGCCTATCTAGGTTGCATTGTAGCATTGCATGCTTGGCGCATTGCACACTTGCATGATAGGTTACATTGCATTTGGCATGTTTTGTACCTTAGCATCATGTACATACTTGAGCCACGTTGCATACATGCATTACATTTTGCTTGGTTTGGGATGTCAAACCAAGCATGAGGAATGAAATGTGTTCGTACTCAAAGTGACGAAACACGTCTCAATCCTCGGTCGCCGATGCCTCTGATCTCAACATGATAGGGCATGTAGCACTCATGTGTTTTTGTTGCATTCTTGCAAGATTGGTACTTTTGGCCATCATGCATCAAAATGCGTGATTGGTGGCCCGAGTACCGAGGTCCACACCCCCTTGAGTCCATAACATGATAGGGAGAGTGGACATGCACACATATGCTTGAAAATTCCATGACATGCCTTGTCTGTCCTTTGCTGCTGTCAAAACAGGATTCTGTAGGAAGATTTGGCCGACCGGCTACCTACAGTGCCGACCGACCAAAAATAATTAGCCGATGGCTCAACAATTGGCGATGACCATTTATCAATGGCCGGTGATCTTATGCCTTGGTCGGTGGCATCTCACAATGCTCAGGGAGTAATTCAGAGGCATCTCCAGGGTTTTCACAGTCCTCAAAGGTATAGGACAGTGCAAACAGAGGCAACAATGGCATGGCAGCGGGCTTTCGGGCAAGGCAAATCGAGCATGCATCTTCCACGCATTCCGAGGCAGAGCTGATGCGGTCTCTTTTAGTTTCATATTTAGGCTGTTTTTGTAATTAATTTGTTAATTAATTAGAAGTTTTGTAATAATTAATTAGCTAGGATAGTTGGTTCGTTATTCGGTCTGTATTATTCTTTCGGACCCTTCGAGCGAGGGCAATTGTGTAATAAGTGTATGTGAGTGCGTGTATGTTTTCCAACCCCCACTTCTCTCTCCCTTTTACTTACCTGCTTTCAATGGTTAGTATTAGGGCATATTTAAATTAGCATACCTTATGCTATGCATGCGTGCATCATCCATCAGTATTGCATGCACCGGGCTCGGCGCATCATGCTAACTGCATAGTATTTCAAATCTAACTTGAATATATGCTATCTGTCGCATTTCACATGCCATCCATAGATTAGCCGAGCCTATTCTAGTGACATTTTGTATGCAATGCATTAACCACTTTAACATGAACTAGGATCATGCATGATTACTAACTAGTTTCTTGTTTTGGCTTGGAGTACACTGTGAGTGTTTTTGTGCTTTAGCATCTCGCATGAGTGTGAATGTTAAACATAATAGCATGCTTACCATGTGGCTATATGCTTATGTCATATAAACTGCCTGAATGCCTGTGGGTGA